AACAAACTAAATAACAGAGGAAAGGCACAATAAACATAAAGCACCAAGCATAAAAAGCACATGGCAACAAGTGCGAAAACTACCATCAAGCCCAAACGCCTACCCAACTACCATAATCCTAACTCTCCAAATGCTCCTATCTAAAGTCATATCCTCGGTAAGGGCCAGAAGTCCAAGGTCTACCCCTACCCCTTCCCTTACTCCTACCCATTATTGGCGTGTTAGGGTGGTTCTTAGTATTCCAGAAAACGGGCAAGCAGAAATTTGGAGACGATTTAGGATATGAATTTTTTAATGGGTTTGGGTTGTTAAATGCCAAACCATTTGGTAGCCTAAATGTTGTCATCTCTTGTAAGAATACATATTTCACATAACGACTTATATGCTAATAATATCACATACTCCCTCCATTACATAGCAAGTGTCTATTAACACTTTCTTGATTCATTAATAAATGGACGAATGTAGACATAAAGTATGTCTACATTCCTTCATTCTTCAATGTATCAAGAAAGTGTTAATAGACCATTAATATGGAACGGACGGAGTATTGTATAAGGCGGCTAGGTGAGGCTGCCTAGGCATCCATTAGGAGAGTGTAGTATGGCAATATTATATACACACACACACACATATATATATAGAAAAATGAATACATATACATACATACGTACATACATATACACACACACACAAAAATGATCAGGCACATGTTACTTTTTTTAGAAAAAAATAGAGTTCCTCATCACCTTAGTTGTTTTCAGGCGAGATTAGGATAGAGGCGAGGCTAAGGCGAGCACCTCATCGTCGTAGGTGTTTTCAGGCTAGACATCCATTAGGCTAGTCCATAAAACCACCCAGACGCCTAGACGTCGCCTAGGTGACGCCTTGATAACTATGTATAACATGCTCTGGTTAGCAATTTAGCATATCGTATTTCATGACACTTGACTTAGATCATAATTTTTTTTAAAAAAAATCATACTAATTACTAATTACAAATCCCTTGTAAACCAAATTCATGGAAGGTCTTCGTCCATAAGAATACAAATCACTTCTAAGAAATTTATAACCACATACTTTATTGTTTTAAAATTTGTGTTGTCAAATGGGATATTCAAAATAGACAACGAGAGTAATAGAACTAAATATAAATATGCCGTAAATAATTAAGAAAGAAAAATGAATACTCCGTACTATTGAAGTTAAAAAGTCTTACAAAAAAAACCTCAATAGTTACCTTGCAGTGTAAAATATGCTAAAGAGATGCATGCAATCAAATCAGTAAGATGGAGACTTAAAATAAATTATTGAAGCATTGAACCTTGCTACATTTGGAACATTGTTGTGACACGGATTAGCTTTTAGGAGAATTCTTGTACAACAATTTTCGTTTGGGGAGTATTCTTGTAAGACTACCCAAACTTTGAAGCATCCGTATGCATTTTTGCTAAAAAAATTATCACCTTTTATGAGCAGCGGCAGAGAGCTTTGCTTCAAGTCGTCGAGCCAGGTCTTCATCTTGCAAAGAAGATGACCATGTCAAAGATCTTAATTTTTTGCGTGCTTTGGATGACAAGATCTCATAAAATTGCTGCATTAGTAAAAGACTCCTAATAAATATAACTGATAACAAAGTCTGATAAATAGGACATGGACAATCATCTTCATTAAAAGCATATATTGCAGTGTAAATTTGTCAGGAATGAATTTGGATAAGAGGAGGCATTTTGTTTTAGAAATACCTGAGATACCACTAATTCCAAAGGATTAAAGCTATTTGTCTATTGAAATACAGTAAGTAGGCTTTTAATTGTATGTAACCAACAGAGGGAACAGAAAGGGAGCTGGCTCAGCACCATGGCAGATTTGCAGTGAAAGTTCTCAAACAATCCAAAACACCATCTTTCATTTTCTTCAGTTTCCATTATTATACTAGGAAGCATGAAAAAATTCTTTGAGGAAACAAAATATCCTACAATACCTGACGGCGTAATTCAGCATCTCTGAGCTTGGCTTCAATATCCTCGGCAGTGGTGGAGGGTGATTTGCTCTCCAGCAGGCGGCGTCTAAGGCGGCGAGGGAGCCTTGGAGTGGACTGCAGGGAAGTGGGATCGGAATCGTTCACCGGAAAATGCAACGCTATTCCGGCGATGCTGTCTGAATCAGGGGATTTAGTTTCCATTGGCAAGAGATGACCGCCTCGGCCCTTGTCTACTACGGAAAACTGTGATTTTGTGTGATGAAAACGAAAACCTGAGTGTGAGATGAATGAGATCGGAATTGTTGGTATGATACAAGAGTGACGATGAACGATTGTAAGGTTGATAAAAAAAGTGTGGATTTCTCTAGACTCTCTGGAGCTGGGAATCAAAGAATGTATGTAGCTCCTTCCAGAAAAGGAGGAGGCCCCCACCCAGAGCTCCCAGCAAAGTATAGCTGTAGCTTCCGTCGGATTCGAGCGGTCTTTCAACAGGCAGGTGGAGTCGTGGAGACAGGGCCGCTTCAGGTCCGTTTTAGGAACTGTAGAATACCGGACTCTCCAGATGGGTGGAAGGGGAACGGCTAGGTTGGGGATCCGGATCTACCAACCGTTTTCGGACTAGTTTAGGTGCGGGTTTCTGCCCGTTTGGGTTTTCTTTTGGATAAAGCTATTGGTACCCAAGTTTTTGTGCCTCATTTGTACACCGTAGGTTTGCACCGACATTTTGTATTGGTGTAAAACTAATTCTTGTTAACGCACCAACACTTTGTGTCCATGTAAATTTTTGTTAACGCACCAACACTTATGCCGGTGTAAACCATCAAAATCTTTGTATATAACTGCGGTGTACAAATGGGGTACAACTTTTGGTGTAAGTGTAGCATGGTCCTTTCTTTTTTTGTAACAAAAGTTATTATTCGTTTATGAAAATATGTTACATGTTAAAAAAAAGGAAAAAGACCAAAGTAGGACTAAAACATTGAAAATATACCAAAATAGGACTTCCATTGTTTTTTTCCCCGAAATAGGACTTACATTACCAAACATGGTCATATACATTACCAAAAAAGTATAGTAATGTGCACATGTACACTGCCACATTACCACAGGGCAAAGTCACATTACCACAATGCAAAGTCCTATTTCGGAAAAAAACATGAAAGTCCTATTTTGATACTTTTCTCTATGTTTTTGTCCTATTTAAGGTGATTTCTACAAAAAAAACTACTCTCTTTGTCCCGTAAAAAACTTCTTGTTTTGATTTTTAAAAAATTTTAAAAAAAGTGTATTTTGGTGTTCGCTTTCCCAAAATAACCTTTGATGTGATAGATAAAGAAGGATGAGATGGGTATGTTAATAAAGAAGAAGTGTGATGTGATAAATATATTAAGAATTAGTAGGAGTAAAAGTGACCTTTTAATGTAAATGAGAAATGTTTTTTAGGACGGATGAAAAAGAAAAGAAGAAAGATTTTGTGGAACGGAGGGAGTACAAATTATGTGCTATCATACCACATGCTTTAAGATATTTATTATGTAAATCGTGTATTATGAGTCACATGGGCTTCGCTTATAAACCATGTTGTTACCCTATCCCACAACATGTTATCAGAGCTTTAGCTCTCAAAACCCTAAAATCTTCTTAAATTTGTTTTCTTTCGCCTGCTTTCCTATTCTTTGTGCAGCGTCTCCAACCATCCGAAGAACCCAGACACAGGCCACGGACGGACATTAGTTTCTGTACAGACACATCTCCATCTCAGGCCTATCTGAAATCCAGGCACAGTGAGATCCGCAAAAGAAATCATGATCTAATCCCGAAGAAGAAATCCAGCTAGTTTGATTGCATTAAACCATTTAACCTACTTTACGACACCCGTGACCTACCCAACCACCCAGGCATATCAGCGATTAAGCCACAAAGCCGATCAAAATTGGTCTTTATCCAAGTCCAAGATTTTCTAATATTTTGGATACCTTTAACAAAAATCTGAAGGATTTTCATAAGGACCCCGGCTAGGGGCTCGGCCTCTTGGACCTTGCCCCCTGATCCCATGGTGAATTCATAATATCATTGAACAAGTACACATTCCGTGCTTCCTAGCTCATTAAACAATGTCTATTCAAATCCTTGTCCAATCTAAATAAATTCAATCACACAAAAATAGTCGATCATACTAAAATCATCCATAATATGAAAAGAAAAAGTATGGAAAATAAAGAAATAATCTAATGGTATGTTTGAGAACATTGATTTGGATTTCAAATCCGGATTTGACTCAAATTCCATGTTTGGGAAACTTATAAATTTTGAATTTGGATTTGAGTCAACTTCTTCTCATTCATAACAAAGCTTAATTTAACTCAAATTCCATGTTTGGAAAACTTGGGTCCGTTTGGAATATGAAATTGATGGAATTGGAATTGAATTGGAATTGAAATTCCATGAAATTCAATTCCATAGAACTGAATTTACCAATTCCAATTAATTTTTTGCACTATCAATTCTAAATCCACATAATTTACTCCCTCCGTCCCAAATTATTTGCCACATTTGTATTCCCGAGGCAAAATATCAAATTTTTTCAATTCATTTTATTTAGATATTAGTATAAAAATAAAAAATAAAATTTACATATAAAAAAACTACATGAAAAGTTCTTCGAAATAAGAGGTGTCAAGAATATTTTGTTTTATCAAATAACCAATGAAAACGTCGAAATAAACAAAAATTCTCGCGACTGCTGAAAAAGCAAATGTTGTGAATATTTAGGGACGGAGGAAGTATGTGCTACCAAACACTAGAATTGGAATTGAAGTCCTCAATTCCAATTCCATAGTTTGAATTCCATGTACAAAACGGGGCCATTTTGAATTTGGATTTGAGTCAAATTCTTCTCATTCATAACAAAGCTTAATTTGAAATGAAATGCTAATTGCCAAACAATATGCCTTAATTCAGGAATTAATGGGATTGGATGACCACACAGACGTACCTGGATTAAACGCCAAGGCCAAGAAGGTCTCCCACCTACTCTGCTCCCAACTCCCCCGAGTACTACCTGAGAGAAGAGAGAAGAGAGAAGAGAGAAGAGAGAAGAGAGAAGAGAGGGATATTAACCAGGGAAGAATAAATTGGATCATGAACGCAGTTGAGGTGGCGTTCTTTGTGCTGCTGTTGTTAGCTGCGGCGGCGGAGCTTCCAAGGGGAGATGCGCTGTGGCTGGAGTTGCCGAGCTCCGGTACCAAGTGCGTGTCCGAGGAAATCCACAATAACGTCGTCGTTTTGGGGGATTATTACATCATCGGCGACGAGGGGCATAAAGTCGTCCCCACCATTTCCGTCAAGGTAATTGAATCAAACAGAAGAAATGGAAATAATATTCATATGCTTTCTGTATGCTGAGAAAATCCATTTGATGTAAAAGAAGTTGTTCAGAATGGGGTTATAGAGGAATGGAGATTAAATTTGGGCAATGATGGAGTGCAATGGCAAATTGTGAGGACAACTTACTTTAAGTGCTTCATATTTTCTTAGGTAGTGTTTGGGAACTATAATTCATTTAAAATCTTAGATTTCAATTCCAATATTTGAAATCTCATAATTTCAATTCTAGAAAATTTTGTTTGGGAAGTCATAGAATTTCAATTCTAGAAATTGAATTTTGAAGTCGGCAAAGACGGTAACGGAAGCCGGTTGATATGTATGGAATTATTGTTGCTCAAGGGGAGATCACTCTTTAATTACAAGTTATAGATTAAAGAAAAGTGGGGCTTTGAATTTGTAAATGACGTGGGGAGATGTGTAGATTTGTAGTTGGGTTAATTTTGAATTAGAAGAATTTGGTCTAAACTCAAAATCCAAAGCTAAATTCTTTGAGTTCCCAAAAAAAAAATTTTTGATCAACTCCAGATTTGAAATCCAAATTCAAGTTCCCAAACACACCAATAGGGTTTTTAGAGGCTTTAGGCCTTTAGATGTGCTATAATATTGGGAAGTGATGGAAAAATGGGATGAGGGTGTTTAGCTAATTTAGTTCAATGAAGGAGTCATTTTGAACTATAGAAGACTTATATTTTATATCAAGACCGTGTTTCTTATGGGATTAATTTATTGTTTTCTTAGTAGAGATTGTATTGCAGGAGATGAACAAATGAGAATAATTGGAATGTTAGTGATCATTAAGACTGGGGATTAGTTATCCCTCATTGGAGGGATAGTCCCAAAAGGCTCTTTATCTTTTTATATTTTGCCACTGTGGGATTGCTAAGCATGCTCTGCAAGATGGTTGCTTGTTGAATGTTGGACCAAATTTAAATCTTGAAGGCCATGTGCGTATTGTTATGACTTAGCAAGATCGAATTGATCGTTTAAGCTTTGCAGGCTCTGGCACCACAATAGAATTTATGATTGAGTAAGAATCACTAGATTGTGCTGTAAAACACTTAGTTCAAGCCAACATATTAGAAGATTGAAAAGTTTGAATTAACGGTTGGCTACTTTTAGTGCAATAATACAGATGGTTTATAGTGCTTAGGTCCAGCCGAGTAACATTTCCAATACAGAGCCTAAACTTTGCCATTCAAATCTTCTCCTCCACATTTAATGTTTGACCTTTACTTATTCATATCTTTTACAGGTGACATCACCATATGGAAACAGTCTCCACCATCAAAACAATGTGACTCACGGTCAATTTGCATTTACATCTACTGAGTCTGGTAGCTACCTCGCTTGTTTCTGGATGGATGGCGATTTACCAGTGACGAAGGGTGCAACTGTTGGGCTTGACTGGAAGACAGGAATTTTTGCCAAGGATTGGATATCGGTTGCAAAAAAAGAAAAGATAGAAGTAACACTCCTTTTTTAGTTGGCATGGGGTGGCGTTTATTATATATTTATATACTCTCTCCGTCTGGATTTAGTTGTCAACTTTTTATTTTTGGGGCATCCATAATGAATTGTCCACTATCTATATTTAGTAAATAAATTGATAGTAATATCACAAATACCCTCATAAAGCACAACAGCATTGTTTTCCTCAGTGAGGGACAAACTCATTTCAAGGAGTTGTTATTTTACCTTCGCGAATCTGGACTATTTTTATGGGACAAAGGGAGTGTGTGTATTTATATAGGTACATATATACTCTTTCTGTTCGTATTTAGTTGCCCACATTCTAATAAAATCTCATTTTTAAGAAATGAGTTTAGAATGTCAAATAAGTCATTCCAATGAGGATGCCACTCACTTCAGTCAACAATATTTATACCATATCTCTAGGATATTTTAGACAGTTCCTCATAATTTTTTATTGAATATGGAAAGTGGAGAACTAATTCCGTGCTAGCAAGAATAAGAAACTGTGCAACTAAATTCAGATGGTGGGAATATATATTTCATGCTATATTTTGGCTCACATGTGATCTTTTCTTGCGTCCAGGGAGTCAATCTTGAGTTGATGAAACTTGAAGGAATAATTCAAGCCATCCATGAAAATTTGAGCTATCTGAAGGATAGGTAATTTTTCTTGCTTATGTTTAGAGAATGAGTTTCTATTGAGCAGAGAAAAAGACATAAATTGTACACTACTATTGAGCAGTGGAAAAAATTAGTACATCTTTATTTGAATCCCCAAAACTGGTCAATTACTATTAGGATTTTGAACTAATTTGATCTTTTTTGGATTAATTGACAAATTACTCCCAAGATATTTTCTTTTCCTTTCTTTGATTTGGATTTGGCCGCTGGGTCCTCTTGCTCCTAGCTCAACTAGCAATCTCCACATAGAACATCAGCAATCATTTCTCGTACTCTTTGGTTTCTCACTCGTTCAACGCCGACTGAGTGCAGAGGCTGTGTTCACTAATCCCAAATTGCAATTTGGTTGGTTGATTTAAGGCAAAATGAGTTCTGGGCTTGATTTTGCCTACACATTGATGCCGATGAACCTGAAGCACCTATGTGGGCACTTGGGCTCGCAGTTCTCTCTGCTGGCCGCACCCAAAAATCCCCGACAGGTTTAGTGGCAAGGAAGTGGTGGTGGGTGACTTCGGCACTACTTTCACCAAATTTCCACCAGAGCTCTATAACGTGGTGGTCTCTGTGGTCGACAACCAAATCGGGTTGGGTTACGACATATGGGGTGACTTGGTCACTTGGAGGAGAAAACTGGGTTGAGTTACAACATAGCGGATCAAATTAGTCCAGAATCATAATATCAATAATAATAGACCAATTTTGAGTTCTCAAAAAGTTTGGTGAATTTACTTTTATCCCCTTACGAATTAAGCAATTGTATTGAATTAGTTTAGAATCATAATAATAATAATGGACCACTTTTGGGGTTTCAAAGAATGATGTACCAATTTTGTCCATGACATGATAATAGTGTACCATTTATGTTTTTTTCCATAAACCCACCATCTCCCTCCCTTCTGTTGGGAACATGTGGAACTCTAGATTGGACTATTGTTGATAGATTGTTGTATAATAATGTGTGCAGGGAAGCAGAAATGAGGGAGGTGAGTGAGAAAACCAATGCAAGAGTGGCTTGGTTTAGTATAATGTCCCTTGGCATCTGTGTATTCGTCTCGGCCACGCAACTATGGTATTTGAGGCACTATTTTCAAAAGAAAAAGCTCATCTAGAAGACCAGAATTCGAGCTTGTGTCGTCATCCCTCCAAAAGTCCCAAACACCACTTCTCACTTTTTCAAGACTTACCGGGATCAAATTACTCGTTTGAGCTTAACATGATCTAAAATTCAAGTTTCCATATTTGTATCATATTCAAACGTTTTCGTTACAGACAATGAACGCATATGTGATAGGCCAAGATTTTAACCTCGTTACATGTCATCTTTAATATGCTTTAGAAGTCTAACTTTTTTCTTTCGAAGTCCTTCCTAATTACAAGAAATTCTCGTCTCAAATGTTACAAATTACAATGTGTTGATTATTGTCTATGGGATAGGGTCAAGTAGAGAGAATTCTAGATTCCTTGCCAAAGTATATGGCACTTTGATTATCACAATATAGTGTAACAGCTCATGCATGAAATTCAAACCCATCAATGCAATTTGGAACAACAATCACCACTCAGCTAGCTTGTATGGATAGAATATATTCTTGAATCTCACTCCATTGTAGCTTCGAGTGACATCAATGTAAAAGAGCAAGTCAACAACAACCTAAACTATCTTCAGGTCGGATTCGATCTCGAATTTTTATATTGTTTTTTACAACGTCCATAAGTTAACACATGAACACATTTGTGGTCTTGGTTAGGGATGACAATGAGGACATGGGGCGTGGGGATCCTCCGAGGAAATCCAAGATCGGAAACTCGCGGTTAGCAAATTTTTTCCCCATGGGTAGAATGGACACGATGTTTTTCTAGAAAACAAAAACAAACCCAATGTTAGGATCACGTTAAGGACCCCGTTAGTAAATTCATCACTTCTTATAAATTGTTATGCTATGAATGGCCCAATTGTTTTTAAGTTCGCTCGTCTAAGCAGTTTAGAAACCAAAAACCTTTAATGGCAAGACCGTTTCGTCTCCTCTCTTGAAAACTCACTCTTACCCCGACTCTAATCGCTGAGATTTGTTATATTTGAATGAGTGTTTGATGTTTTCCTTGAAACTTTTTTTTTTTGAAGGAGATGTTTTGCTTAAAACTTTACACACACATTCTATTGAAGAATAGCGTTCTCCATTCATGCAATATGCATCTCACTAATCCCACTATACATTGGCCATATGGAGTCTCACCAAAGCAGCTCACCATACTATTATTCCACTTTGTCTCTCCAATTATTATTCATCACTTTCCTTGTAGAGTTTTAAGCTCTATTAATGCCTAGTAAGGCATGTATTGGACAAATCCTCCCCAAATAAATAATGAAGCACTCACTTGGCACGGTACCTCCTAAAAAGGCACGTAGTTTTCTTTCAATTTGGATTTTCACGTCAATATCACGTGTTCATCATATATTTTATATATATTATATTTATTATTATATGTTATAAAATATAAACTACTACGTATGTATCTTTCATACCTGATGTATCAAAATCCATCTGTTATAGTCACTTCCTCAAGCATCATGGGTTTCTTGAGGTCGTGAAAGTAATTTTGGATTAGGTCGGTTTCATTATGATTTCAACCATTTTTGGTTTTGTCAATTTCAACAAGTTTCAATCAATTTTGGCAACTTCAATAACTTTTCAAAGCCTTAGAGCACTGGAAATGGTCATGAAGCCCCGGGACTTCAAACCGGGGCTTCAAACTCTCTCTCTCTGCCACGTCAGCTTTAACTTACACCAAAAATTCACTGGAAATGGTTTTAAAGCCCCGGGGCTTCAAACCTTCATTTTTTACATTTTTAAATATACATCTTCTAAATTTAAATTAATAAATTTAAATTAATTTATTATTTTGATTAATCGCAATGACACTAGTGCATTAAAAAAATTAAATTCATTATAAAAAAACTTACATTCATAAAAAAACATTCAAAAAAAATTACATTCATTAAAAAAATATTACAACAAAAAAAACAACAGTACAAAGAAATCACATATTATTCGAACGACTAAAGATATGCTCGATCAAATCCGCCGTTAGTGCATTGTGAATCTCTCGGCTTCGAATTTCTTGGCGGTTGCGTCGTTTCTTTTCTTCGGTGATTTCTTCGTACATAGGCACCTCCTCGTCCGGGTTGTATTGACAAATCGCATACCCGTTATCCTCTATGATCATATTATGAAGAATAATACATGCGTACATGATATTCCTCATTTTTGTCTGAGAATAACATTTCGACGGACGATCTAGAATGTGTCACTTAGCCTTCAAGACCCCAAAGGCTCGTTCAATATCTTTTCTTGCCGCCTCTTGAGCTTTTTTGTAGGTCTGGCGTTTAAGACCCATTGGTCGGAGATGGATTTGACAATCGTGGAATGATCTGGATATATTCCATCGGCCAAATAATATCCACGCTTGTAAAGCGTCCCTTTAAGCTCAAAAGAGGAGTCCGGTGCGGTCTCATTAACCCAATCGTCAAAAACAGGGGATTCATCGAGAACGTTGATGTCGTTGTTCGAGCCCGCGACACTGAAAAAAGCATGCCAAATCCACAAGTCATTCGAAGCAACAACTTCGAGCATGATGGTAGGCTTGGGATGATCTCCCCGGGAGAATTGACCGTGCCACGCAGTGGGACAATTTTTCCATTCCCAATGCGTGCAATCAATACTCCCAAGCATGCCGACAAAGCCGTGTTTAGCGGCATGCCTTGCCTGCAACTGCTGGATGTCGCTCGCTGTAGGCTTGCGTAAATATCTTTTATGATAAATTTGAATAATAGCTTTTGAAAATTTATAAACACAGGACCTGATGCTCCGAGCCGACATCTTCAAGTATTCGTCGAACATATCGGATGTCGTCCCGTACGCCAACTGACGGAGCATATCGGATCTCGCATCAAACCGTTGGGTGAACCAAGGAACCTCGCGTTCAACATCGGCGAGTATGCGTAAGAAGAGAGGACGACTCATCCGAAAACGATTACTAATCCTCCGGTGTATAAACACACGGATTATTAAAGTAGTCGTTTAGAAGTGAAGCGTGGGCGGCCTCTCTATCCCTGTTTAGACGTTGGCGTCGGGTCCGTCGTCGGGAGGATTCGGCTTCTTCTTGGCCATCTTCCCACCATTGAATACAATTCGTCGCGAAACAACGAAAAATAAAGCTCTTCTTTCATCGTCGGAAGATAAACCCATTTTTAAAATATATTTTTTAAAGATTTATAATAAATAATAAATATTTTAGAGAGAATATGAAATGAGATGTGAGAGAGATGTGTGAGAGAATGATATTTTTTAGGGGAATTTATAGGTTTTTTTTTTAAATTTTGATATTTTTTTTAATTGGGGGGGGNCACGCAGCGTCATTCCTTTGACGCACGCCAGATCACGCCCAAATAACTCCGGAGGGGGCGGTGTTTCACGCCCCCAGGGCGTTAAACGCCCGTTCACGCCGGCGGGCGTGAATCCCATAAATCTTTGTAATACGTTCGCGTATTATACGTTTGATTTTTCAAAAATACGGCTTATAATAAGAAACACATTTTAAACTTTGAAATTGAATACAAATACATCATAAAGTTCTAAAAATTTAACCAAGACTACGATTTATTGTTTATTCATTTCTTCCATGTGTACCCAAAGGAGATCTTTCAATCTAATTATTATTCTGTACTTCCACAAAATGTATTCAAAGTAACAACACATTCTGAAAAATGAAGCCAACATTTAGATATGAATAGAGCATTTAAGACATGACAAAAATTATATTATTAGACAATTTATGTTTTACAAAATTGATTAAATGTTTATCATGAATTTAAAAGGAAGATTTAAGTCTTCTTATAGTTTAAACATGAACTTACTAAATAATGTTTTACACAATTTAAAGTGAAGAAAAATTAAATTTAGTCTATATTTTTTATTTTTAGAATACAAAAATATAGTTATGAACTTAGATTTTTTGAATTTAGATCCTACAAATAAAATCAAATTTGTATTTTTAAACGTGGACTAATATTTAATCTTAAGAACTAAATACAAAAAAATTGATCACATTTTTAAAATCTAAACAAATAGAAAAAATGTTGTTGTCTACTATTCGCTAGTGCAGATGCTATGTTGAACCTTCAGTCGAACGAAGTCAAAGAGACTGGTAGAGTGTAGGTGACATTTTATTAAAATAAGATATTTGTGGATGACTTGATCTACGATCTTACTTTTAATACTTTTATAATAATTGAGTCGCCAAATTTTAAAGATTTGTATTTTTGCAAAAAGACAATCAATTTATTTGAACTCAAGCCGTTTTCCCGCCAAAAAACGTCTAGGCATTTCAAATTTGAAAGGATGCTCGGATATACTTCCTGCCCCTGATGGTACCCACAGGACCGGGAATCGGAGGACTCTTTGATGGGTAATAACCCATGGATACCGCCCGGTAGGTCCGACCGACTGGAGGTACCAGATGTGACGCCGCCTAGCCAAGTCCACGCGGTCTGAGAGACCGGTCTGACATCCGGAACCAAAGACACAGTTTTGGGTTGCAAAGACATGTAAACAGACCGGATAGTTCACTGACCGGCTGGGCTGTGTTAGACGTGCTTGACGTGCTTAGGATTACTATAAATACCCCAAAAAGCCTCATTTGTGGGGCATGATTTAATTAATACACACGGCTTGTACTTTGTAATAGCTCCTATTATCATTAATAACAAACCGGGTTACAGATGTTTCCACTTACAACCCTTCCAATCACTTATACTTAATATTTGCCCGGTAATTTACACCATCACATAATTTGGTCAAAATGGAAAAATAAAAAAACGGAATTTAAAATAAAAAGGTAAGCACACTTTTTTTTAAAAAAAACGACTAAAGTAAAAGTAAAACGTTGAAATTATACCAAAATAGGAGTTCAATATTTACTCTCGAAATAAGAGTTAAAATGCATTGACATTATCAATATATGATAATACATTTATATTATCAATCATTATAAAAAAGTATAGTAAGATGTACATGTACAGTATAAAAATATAAAAATCATATTTTCATACATTTTTTTTTTCTACTTAGGATCATTTATTTTTATTTTTTATTTATAAACAACTTATAAATTACTCCATTCGTCCCAAATTATTTGCAACGTTTGCTTTTTCAGCAGTCGCAAGAACTTTTATTTATTTCTACGTTTTCATTGGTTATTTAATAAAATAAAATATTTTTGACACCTTTTATTTCGAAAAACTTTTTATGTAGTTTTTTGATATATAAATTTTATTTTTTATTTTTATACCAATATGTAAATAAAATTAATTAAAAAAACTTAATATTTTATATCGAGAATACAAGTATAGCAAATATTTAGGAAGGAAGAGAGTACTTTACAAACACAAATAAAAACAACTTAATTTTGATTTTTGACTAGGCACTATTTGTATCTTTTGTGCCGACTAATCGGCTGTCCCCCCCCCTTCCGTTCTTTCATAGTCAATTTGTCACGCAATTCTCTCTCTTCTCCAAATCTGTAAACGCACTGTTCGTTTTGATTGCACATTGACGAAAGAGGGCCCCCAAAGAGCTGTGGATAATCATATCCATGGATTCGCATGTTGCTATGGAGCCCACCAGTGGATATTCTTCCCAAACCAAAACCTTCCACAGCCTCCGGCCGCCGGTCTCCTTGCCCCCCTCCGACCACCCTCTCTCCGTCGCGCAATACGTCTTCTCCCTGCTCCGTTCCCCCGATACCGCCGCCTCGGACACCTTCCTCATTGACGCCGCCACCGGCCGGAAGCTCTCCTACTCCGATTTCCTCCGGCAGGTCCGGTCTCTCGCCCGCTCGATTCGATCTCGGTTCCCTTCTCTTCCGCAGAATGGAGTCGCGTTCGTTCTGTCTCCGACTTCCGTTCTCGTCCCGCCTCTGTTCTTCGCTCTGCTCTCGCTCGGCGTCGTCGTTTCGCCTGCCAACCCCCTCTCCACTCCGTCCGAGTTGGCTCACATGGTCCGACTCAGTAAACCCGCAATCGGTTTCGCTAATTCCGCTGCTTGTAACAAACTCCCTCAATTTCCGCTGGGAACCGTTATCATTGACTCGCCCGAGTTTATCGACATGCTCGATGGACCAGCTTTTGATGGCGACGATTCATCTGACCGCCGAGCTATTCGTCAGTCCGATTCGGCAGCCATTCTCTACTCGTCCGGCACGACCGGCCGAGTCAAGGGCGTCGAGTTGAGTCACCGGAATTTCATCGCTCTTATCACCGCCCTGTACCATAACAAGTTCTCCAAAGGAATTTCTCCGGCGGCGGAAGAGGACGTGTCGCTCCTAATGCTGCCGCTGTTTCACGTCTTTGGGTTTTTTATGCTTATAAGAGCAGTGTCGATGGGTGAGACGGCGGTGATAATGGACCGATTCGACTTTGGCAAAATGCTGGCGGCGATTCAGAAGTACAGGGTGTCATACCTCCCGGTGTCGCCGCTGCTGGTGGTGGCCATGGCGAAGTCTGATTTGGTGGCAAAGTACGACCTTAGCTCCCTCACGCTGATCGCCTGCGGCGGCGCACCGCTTGGAAGAGAGGTTGCAGAGCGGTTCAAGGCGAGGTTCCCGAACGTGGATGTTCTTCAGGTACGCGCGTCATTGCACACTCTTCATCTTCAATGGCTAAAAGATTACTCCTTATGTTACTAGTTACTACTTCCGACTTGTACTTCCTACCATTAGTGTATTTTTATTTTTTCTAAAATATTTATACGGAGTATTTTTTTTATATATAGTATTTGATAAAATAAAATATTATAGTCATAATTTGTTTTATATTTTGAAATTTTTTAATATGATTTTGAAAATGTAATTTGTACTAATAATTTCTATATTAATTTATACAAATAAACTCTTTCTCTATTTGAGTATTTGTCTAAATTTTACTTTTTATAGTCAACCATGATCTAATTAAATAAAAATTATACAGAGTATGATATATTACTTAGATAAAATAATATGTTAAAAATATTTAACAAGATAAATCTAATAAAATTGTTATTGTATCAATATCTAATACTCCGTATAATTTTTATTTAAATAATGGTTAAAGTTGATAAATTTTCCCTGCAAAAAGTCAAAATTTGACAAATAATCAGAGAAAGAAAGTAATTATTAAAAAGGTGAAATTTGACATATTGTACGAAGTGAGACGATATTTGTAGGACGGACTTTAAAAAGTAGGAAGAAAATACAACATGAAATAATAAAGTTAAGAGGGGCAGTTCCCATGACATTGTCGACAATGCTCGACAATGTTATTGGATGATCCGAGGGTGCTCCAGTGCCCCATTTGTAAAATTGACGGTTCCTACCTACCCAACCCCTGGTAAACCCCCCACACCCTGCCCTGACCCGAACACACACCCACCACCCCCCACCACCTTCAATTTGACTCCAATGTCAACATCAACTTGTGGGGTGCAATTGAAGGTGGCGAGAGGTGTTCGGGTCGGGGCAGGGTGAAGGGTTTATCGGGGATTAGGGAAGTAGGTACCGTCAATCTTACGAACGGGACACTGGAGCATCTTCGAGTCATCCCATGACATGGGATTCCAGTGCCATGGGAACTCCACCATAGAGTTAAATAAGTTTAGGATCTTGCTACACTTACACCAACAAATATACCCCATTTGTACACCACAGGTTTACACAAACATTTCGATGGTTTACACCGACACAAGTATTGGTGCGTTAATAAAAATTCACACGGACACAAATGTTGGTGCGTTTAACAAAAATTAGTTTTACATCAACACAAAATGTTGGTGCAAAACTGCGGGGTACAAATTGGGGTACAAATCTTGGGGTACACATAGCATTATCCATAAGTTTAATAATCTAAAACGCACTTGCTGAAAGATTAGTATATAGAGTTAAAAACAATTACTGTAATATTTAATAATCTAAAACACTTTTTTGAAAAGACCAAACTGAAATACACGTGGGAGGGTTAGAGACCCACTTCACACATAGGATCAGTTATGTCAGCTAAGAAATGAACAATCTGATTTGCTGATTTACGCACACACGACCAAGAGAGAGACACCAACTCAATCTTTAAAGCTAAACAATCAAAGATAATCGCTGTGAAATAAGAGAAGTTCTCATTCTTATTCTGTAAGGTTCAATAGACTATATTTGGCTGTTCATCTCCACCATGATCTGTTCGCCCCTCCACCCCTCTTGATCCACTTGAGCGCCTCCCGAACCCCCATCGCCGCAGCCTGCAGCCATCAGGGTGTTCTCAACTTGTCCAAGCCCCTTGTACGCAGCTCGAATGAACTCCCCTTGTGAACTACGGATCACCATTCCCACTCGGACTTGCCTTGTGTTTAAATTAAAACCAGTGTCCACATTACATTTTAGCCGCCCATCCTCTGGCGGTCTCCACCGTGTGCCCAGCGTCCCAATCCCTTCTCGCATGTTGTTATTCCCTTGTTGCGCCGATCGCCATTCGCGAACTACTGGTTCACCTTCAAGACCAATAATCTAAAACACTGGCTGAAAGTGTTTTACAATACTTTTGCTTTGTTAATTTGTGTTTGATACCCATATCATAGATTCATACGTATCATAAATTTTGATGTATCATTCAGAGGTCGAATACATATTTTTGATGGTGCTGTTTATTCACGCACCATACAAAAATATTTGCTTATATGCGAGTGCTATTTGTATAATATAAAGATTATTTGCAAATTATGATGCTTGACGATTTATTTTTAAAAATATTTATTTCATTTTTGTTTTTGCTCTTAATTTAGAAGTCAAATCTACGCCAACTGTATTTTTAACTGAATTTTATATCTGACATATTGAACTATAGTCAAGAGTAAGTAAAACACCAGGTGCACTCAATGATTAGTACAAAATCACAACTAAAACTTCATACTCCCTCAGTCGCATAAAAGAATGCCACATTATGCAAAACAAAGCACAATTTCAACTTTTTTTGAATTAATTTTATTTAACTACATATTTATAAATTACGTCAAAAGTTTTACAAAACAAGAGGTTACGAGAACATTTTATCAAATAATCAATGAAAATGCAGAAATAAATAAAACTTCCGGTGAATTTTGAATAGTAAAGTGTTACTCTTTTTGGTACGGAGGGAGTATTATTAAAAATTACCTTACTGCCTGCTAAAATTTAAGTTATATTGTGACGTTCTTTCTTCCATCAAATTCATGATGCATTCATGCTTCCAATTTTGAAATTACCTAATGTTTATAAAATCATGCATGCTTGCAAATCATAGGGCTATGGCCTGACCGAGACGTGCGGTGGAACTACAGGGATGATAAGCCCCGAGGAAACAGAGAGGTATGGTTCAGCTGGTCGCCTTCATCCAACCCTGGAGGCCAAGATAGTTGATCCTGACAGTGGGGCCCCTTTGCCTCCAGGGCACAGGGGTGAGCTGTGGCTGCGCGGCCCCTTAATAATGAAAGGTGAAATCGATTGTGGTGTAGAGTAGCTAATGGATTAAATCCAACTTTTTAGCCGGAGTTAGCTTGGTGAAATCCATAGATGAATATTTTGTGTCTCATTTAACAAAACAAATTAGTAGTAATAATGCTTTATTCTTTCGCATGGCATTCCAAGTCTCTATTACCATATTCGTGAAGACTGAAGAGTGTTGATGGATTTTGGCCAGGCTATATTGGCGATAGTTCTGCAACTGCTGCAACATTAAATTCAGAAGGGTGGCTTAGAACAGGCGATCTCTGCTACTTTGACTCGGCTGGGTTTTTATTTATCGTGGACCGGTTGAAGGAATTGATAAAATATAAAGCCTATCAGGTGATCAAGATCCATCGATCTTCAATATTACGCCAATTCGTCTTCCATGATCAACATTTGTTATTTGTGTTATTACATATTTTTTTTCGAAACCTTTTTATTTGGAACATTTTTCAGGTTCCTCCTGCTGAGTTAGAGCATCTGCTACAGTCCATCCCTGATGTTTCTGATGCAGCTGTTATTCCGTATGTTATCTTCCAAACTGCCCCCCAAAACCCCGCTATAATAATATTCAATGCCCGTTTGGCAACAATTTCAACATTTAGCTTTAGCATCTCGAGAAGGTTATCTAATGGCATAGTTTAGCTTCAAAATTTTCAAAATTGATCTACACCATTAAAAAATTATCCAAAACACTTGCGCTAATTGAAAATGTTGGGGAAAATCTCAATATGCACCCTAAAAAGTTAACAAAAAAGTAATATGCACCCTCACTTTTCTCAAATTTCATAGTGCACCCTCAGAAATTATAATAGCTTCCATTTAACCTTCCATCATCCCATTTTATCCATTGACGTTAACTGCTGTAATAATATTAGTGCCTTTTTAGCCTCTTCTAACATATTACATACGGAATGGAGTAAAGCATAAAAATTCTAATCACCTTTTGGCTTCCACCCCGGTCGCATATCATGGCAAACCTGAGTGAGTGTGTCATTTTGCCATTTTCATCAATTAGGGGAGAACTGGATATGGAAACAGGGGTTAATTTTTAAAAAATGACAACCAATCTTCCATGTCTATATTTAATTATGGTCGAGTTGCTGTGATACAAATAAATTAGCCACGACCCTGCACTGAGAACTTTTTTGGACAACCGTCGGGCTTAGCGGATTGCATCAACTTCACTAGCCCATTTCAAATTCGCTCTTGTTCGTTTCACCGAAGGGTAATAACCGCCGGAAGAAGCTAGGGTTACAATGCAAATTGCAGCCTTTTCTTGGACGGAGGAATGACCGGAGAGGATCGCGGAGATGGAGCAGAACGAGAATAGCTCCCGAGGTTAATATTCTTGCAGTTAACGGCAATGGACGGTAGGGGATGGTGGAAGGTTAGGAGGAAGCTATTATAACTTTTGAGGGTGCACTATGAAAATTAGAAAAAATGAGGGTGCATATTACTTTTTTAATACTTTTTGAGGGTGTATATTGAGATTTACCCAAAATGTTGTTCCCAAACAAGGCCTCAATGTGCAAAAATGTTCTTAGTATCATCTTAAACAGAAACTTTATACTTCATATGTATGTATATATAGTCATGAATTTCAAGTCGTATTTTACTAAAAATCGCCTTATGGATAAAGCGCTGGATCAAAGCAAAGCTTCTTGCAGTAGTACCAAACTACCTACCAATGTTTCTTATGATGAATTACATTGATGGTTTGTTTGCTGAGTTCAGATATCCCGATGAAGAAGCAGGGGAGATTCCAATGGCATATGTTGTCAGAATACCTGGAAGCAACATCTCCGAAGCTCAAATAATGGATATAATTGGAAAACAGGCATGCCAAATTTTCATTCCACTACTTTACCTTCACGCGTATTTGCTTTCTAGCTTGTTAAAGGACTCTTGATGCACCTCTCTTTCGAACTCGTGGCGATTGATTTCAATGAGATTAATTAGCTAACTACCATCGCTAGCAAAAAGCTCAGTGATCATCATCATTACGCACTCTGGACCTTCATCTGCAAAATTCAAACTTTTTTCCCTTCTAAATGATGGAAGCACTGGCATATTTTTGCAGGTTGCACCGTATAAGAAGATCAGGCGGGTCTCGTTCATCAACTCCATTCCTAAATCTCCAGCAGGGAAGATATTGAGAAGAGAACTGGTTGCACATGCCGTATCTTCCGCCTCGGCTAAGCTATGAAAACACATTGCGATTTGGCCACCTCTACTGCAGAACACAATGTCATGTAGTCACTTGACCAGTCCACATTTCCCTCTGTTTCCTGCAAATCGACGCCTTTTATGCGGGTAAGCTATCGAGTTTTTGCATGAAGGTTCGAGTTTTGAATTGAAGATATTCAAAATAATCAAGTTATGTTGGAATTTATTTAATATAGGCTTGTAGAACCTAAGGTGTAGTGAAAGAAGCTCGGTTAGGGCTCATAATATAAAGGTGTTTATGGACAATGTAAGATTATTTCGCCGGGATTAGAGGCAATATGAATAATAGCCGAGTGACTTCAATCATGTGTGGGCATAAGCAATAATGTCCATTGAACGGTATTCAACTTTAGCTGAAGAATGTGAGACCATAAATTACTATTTCTTGGTTGCCAAAGAAACTGACATATGGCCCATGAAGAGGAAATACTAATGGTGTTAGAAATTTAGGAGGATGAATGCTGCTTAGCAGCGTTGAAGAGTTAATAAAATCAAGAACGAGAATTACAACTTGATAGTTTAACGAATCGCGAGTACGTTTTCAGATCAAAGTTATTTCGAGGTATAACAAAATATTTTAATCGGATAAGGCGTTAATCAAGAAAAAGCGTTTTGAATCACACCTCAACCATACCCAGCAACTCCTTTTATAGAGTTTAAGATTTTGGCGACTAGACATGAACGTTCGCGCAACATGGAGAGAATAGAACTTTTGCTAAAGGATGCAAGTGTTCGCGCGAGTTTTCCTTTTGGTTTTTGGGTCAAATTTTACGTTCATTCGTACGTCTGAATCTTTGCGGTTTTGGACTCCTTTTACGAAAATCTGAAGGATTTTTATAAAGCAATAACATCCAAAATAAAAAATTTCCAAACTGTCCCGCGATAGCTCGACTCCGGCCAGGGACACATATCTTAAAGATCAATAAAAGATATTTGATATGATTTGTTTTGATTTTTATACTCCCTCCGTCCCTATTTAATTACAACACTTTGACTTGCACACACTTTTAGAAAGTAGGTAAAAAGTATTTTTTTTCCAAGAATACCCCCCATCCACCCGTACAAAAGAAAAAAGCAAAGACAAAAAATAAGGGAGAAAGGGGGAGTATTTAATTAAAGTTAACATCACATCATTCTCATAATTTTACAACTAGGCTATCAATTGTACACATCATCACCATACATACACCACACGTTGAAAATTAAAGAGGGAAACACCCAATTTTTCCCCCCAATTTTTTCCTAAGTACACCCTATTCAATGAGCATATAAATGGGTTGTGTGCATTGAAGAAGGCTATTTAATTCTAATAAAAAATGGATTACATAAGTTCAAATCCATCTTCATCCACACTTCATGTGTTTGACCTGAATCTCCCACCTGCGACTGCCCATGACTTCGATCTCAACGAGGCTCCGACGCCAGCTTCACGTGGAGACGAATTGTCTTTTGAAGACGATCTGTCTTTTGACGACACAGCAGTTCTGAGCCTTAGCATTCGAGCTACTACGTCATTCAGCGATATGGGACGTTTAGCCGAGGTTGTTTCCCCACGGACAGCTCTGACGAACACATCGACTTCTCGTGGAGTGCATACCGGGCAGCCCGAAGAACCTGTGCACGAAAACGAAGCGGAACAGCAGGAGAACAACACAACGCCCAGACTATCTGATATTCAAAAGAAACGCATAGTTGAAATGCTAATGGGAAAAGCCAAAGAAGGCTGTAAACTTCAGCGGGGGGTCATTAAAGAAGTAGCGGCGAAGTTCAACACTAACAGATAGGCCGTTCACACTTTATGGACCAAAGCAAAACAACAATTTAATGCAGGCTTACCCATTAATCTGGCACCACAAATGAGGGGGCGTGTGGGCAGAAAAAGAGTCACGTGTGATTTAGGAAAACTGGTTGAAGTTCCTTTTCATAAAAGGAAAAACATTTGTGCAGTTGCATACCAACTAAACGTATCAAAAAGCACAGTGCACAGGCTACTCAAAGAAAAGCATATTCGACGTCACACGAATGCAATCAAGCCTCTGCTGACAGGCAGTGGTAAGGTTAAAAGACTACGTTTTTGTTTAGATCATATCATGCCCCAAACAATACCCATGAACCCAACAATTCATCACTTTTATGACTATGTTCACATAGATGAGAAGTGGTTCCAACAATCACAAGAGACAAGTAGTTTTTACACACTCCCCAATGAAGAAGATCCATACAGATCAGCTCAGTCAAAAAAATTTATACCCAAAATAATGTTCCTAACAGTTGTAGGTAGACCAATGTTGGAGGGTACTGGTGAAAGCATTTGGGATGGGAAAGTAGGTATTTTCCCCTCCACATTTCAGGAAGGAGCAAAGAGGAGTAGTACTATAGAAACAAAGCCAATTCCAATTGTTAACAGAGATGTGATGAAGCAAATGATGCTGAATCAGGGCTGCCATTAAGGCCAAATGACCTCAGGTAAGGGCTAAGCATGTCATCATACAACAAGACAATGTCAAACCTCATGTACACCCTGATGATCCAGACATAGTCTAGAGCTGTCAAGAAGATGGGTGGAACATTTCTATAAAGTGCCAACCTCCTAACAACCCTGTTCGCAATGTATTAGACTTGGGATTCTTTGCATCAATAGACAGTCTCAAAAACCAAAAAGCCCCAAGGAACATAAATGAACTGATCAATGCAGTGCAGACTGCATTTGAGGAGTTAACCCCTCAAAAATTGAATAAGGTCTTCTTGACCTTACAATGTGTGATGGAACAGATTCTAGTGCAAAAAGGAGAAAACAACAACAAGATACCACACATTGGGAAAGACAGGCTAGAGAGGATGGATCAGTTGCCTGAGAATATTCAAGTCAGTATGGAAGTGGTGGAGGCAGCCAGGAACTTCTTAGTAGAACATGGGGCTGGTAACAATTGACTTGGAAATACAATCTAAGTTCTTTGTTTTAATTTTTGCTTTTTGGAGGGACTTGTCCTAATGAACTGTGGAGTTCTTGACATGTATTTGGTACATAAGGTACCTTTTTTTACTTTTTGGAGGGACTTGTACTAATATTTGGGGGGTAGTTCAAGCTGACATGTATTTAGTACAAATGGTACTTTTTTGATTTTTATAGGGGACAAGTTTTGTAAGTGCTCCTGAATGTATAAGTATATTTTGAATGCATTTTTGGTCTCAGATTTTAAAGTCATCACAGACCACACATCAGTCACATGAGGCAACAAACACTTAGGGATCACATACTGGCCAGCCTTTGACATAAGGAATGAATGGCATCACATTTTTGGTCTCAGATTTTAAAATCATCACAGACCACATATCAGACACATGAGGCAACAAACACTTAGGGATCACATCCTGGCCAGCCTTTGACATAATGAATGAATGCCAACACATTTTTGGTCTCAGATTTTAAAATCATCACAAACCACAGATCAGGCACATGAGGGATCACATACTAGCCAGTACTCACAGTGGGCAACACACACATAGGAATCACATAATGGGCAGCCATTGACATTAGGAATGAATGGCAAGACATTGGTCTCAGATTTTAAAGTCATCACAGACCACAGAGCAGTCACAGTGGGCAACAAGCATTAGGGATCACATACTGGGCAGCATTTCACATAAGGAATGAATGACAACACATAGGTCACAGATTTTAAAGTCATCACAGACCACAGAGCAGTCACACTAGGTAACATTTCACATAATGAATGAATGGCAAGACCAGTACACATTTCAACTCATCACAGACCACACATCAAGGGCAAATACTCCAAAATTTGGGCATTATACACATTGGGCCACACGAGTAGACAACCAAATACATAAATTGATTTCACAAATGGCACAGAGATGTGATGGCCTCACTAAAAAGTGTTGAAATTTAATCCCCCCCTTCATCATTAGTTAAGAGATTGAATTACCATAACATGCAGAGACAATCCATTCGATAATTAAGTTATTGAGGAGAGGTCATACCACAGGAAGGCAGATCGAAGGGTATTGGTGGAGGATTCACCATCAAAGCATAATCTGTGCAGACCAATTGTCTATGATCATAGTCAGATGTCACCTCTTCAGATTCCCCTTTGTCGCTCTCAAATTCCAGATCCGATTCATCAAACATCGCCACATCCCTGTACTTCTTACGATACTTCCAGGTTGGGTATGTATCAGAAGTAGAGGTCGAAGGAGTAGGATAGCGACGCTTCAATCCTCGTCCAGATCCACCAATTTGGGGGAATCTACCTCGCGAGGGTGATTCCTATATCAACAGATTAAAATTAGGATATGAGGGATCTGGATTACCCATAGAGATTAGGGAGTGGAGAAGACGAAGATTGTGGCGGAGAGGAATTTGAGAATGTCGCGGAGATGAAGAGATTATGGAGAAGAGGAAGATTGAAGATGAGAGATCAGATGGAGAGACGAAAGAGTGTGGTGAGAATGAGAGGAATCCGGATAAGGATTCTGATGCACAGTTTGAAAAAGTAGGGGTATAATAGTCTTAACACACCAATTTACTTTCCATTATTAGAAGTGTGGTGAATTTTTTGGGACGGATAAAAAAGGAAAGTGTGACAAATATTTAGAGACGGAGGGAGTATTTTGAGGCGGGGTAATCTTACCAATCATAAAATTAATTGTTTCTACTCTCTTTGTCCCTTTCCCCCACGTAAACCCCTTATACTACCTCTTCCTTACGTACCCCCGCAATCCATGTAATTGAACTAACCAAATTTTGAGTAAAAAAACTGACCATAAAATTGGAAGATGTGCGTATGGGATGTGCCGGATATGGGGGGGTTTACCGATGGATGGGAGGAGGGTTAGTAGGGGTAGGAACAATCAATTTTACGTTCGGAGCACCGTAGGTACTACAATTGAATTGTAACATCCCTCGTTTGTTTTTAATTAGGAATTTTTTACTTAACATATAAACATAAATTCATTCCTATTGTAGTACGTCTTGAATTTGAATGAAAAATCAATATTTAGTCTTGACCTTGTGAAATTCTGAAATTATTAATCACTTGATGAAAATTACTAGTTATCTTCAATCACATAATTCATTTTGCTATGGCTGTTTGTGAAGAAATGTGAAAATTACACTTTGATTCGCTTGTATCGAAAAATCAATATTAGGATCAGAATACTTGTGGCCAACACGTACTTGTGGTCACTAACTATGGCAAATCGTGTGAGGGTCGCTTTAGACAACCTTTTTAGGACATTTTTGGGAATATCATTAGAGATTAGCATTAGCGTTTTAGATAAAATTTTAACGGTGCAAATTAATTTGAAAAAGCTAACGCTAAACGATGTCCGTAAATAGCCTTTTGAATGCTAATCTCTAACGTTATTTTCAAACATGCCCTTAATGTGCATCATAATAAACATAAAGTTGTTGGGTGCAACGAAAAATAAAAATTTTTCACTTTTTTTTTGAAGCCTAATTTTAAAACTTAGAGGAGTCCAAGCTACTTACTGAACTACTTAACTAGACAAATAAAGAGAAGTTGGGGTTAGAGTAATACTCTCTTCGTCCCATTTTATAACGCCTGTTTCGGTTTACGATGTTTGACTGAAATTATTTTCAAATCATTTTATATGACAAATGGTATATAGTTAAAAAAATAAAATTACATATTAAAATACTACATCAAAAGATCTACAAAACTAGTAGTGACAATAGTATTTTATTTAATGAGATTGCTAACGAAAATAGAGAAAGAAAGTGAATGAAATTTGACTATGTGAATAGTGAATAGACATTATAATTTGGGATGAAGGGAGTACTTAATAGGGAATAACATGTTAGAAGAATTTCAAGCTGTTATTAATATAACTAAATGAAGGTCAGCAATCAGCATATATGCATAAATTCTGTCTCCAATGAAAAAAACGATGAACTTCATTCTTGAGGGGTCCTTCGAAACCGACTAGACAATTACCTTAGAAGAGGTAATTTAAACTGTAATTACCAGGAATCGAATTTGTGTTAATTCCTGTACTCCCTCCGTCCTAAAACGTTGTTTCCATTTCTATTTACGAAGTTCAAATTTTATTTTCAAATCAATGTATTTGATTATACGACGGAGGGAAGTATTATTTTGCTAACTTTACAACACTCACATTTTTTTTTCTTTAAAAAAAGGGTGACAATGCAAGTTTGGAATCAATGAACATAGGGCCATTATGGAACCAACACGTGTCTGTCTGCTGGCATAGCATGTTCCACCTCTTTAGTTTCAACTTTTTAAAAAAGAAGGAATTTAGGTGACTCAAGATTATCCCAATTTTGAACACCATATTCTTTTGTTCATGTAAACCTAAAACATAGCATAATTGGAAACAAAAAAATACTTTTTCCGTCGAATTTAATATTTGCATATAGCATTCTTTTGATCTAAATTTGTAAACTTTGACATTGATTAACGAAAAAATGCATTATATTTCGATACAATTTAATATCAATAGTTTCTTTTTGAAACATATTTTTGAAATATGAAATTTTTATATAATACGGCTACGTAGGAATATCCATATTAATGGTCAAAATGTTAAATTGAATTTTTACATATTTTTGTAGATCTTTTGATGTAGTTTTTAATATATAATTTATATTTTTTAATTTTATATTTATAATCAAACAAATTGAATTAAAAATAAAATTAGTCAAGCATCGTAATGCAGACAGGAAAGATTCAAATCGAACCGAGAGAGAGTATTTACAAGTAAACTGTTTTGTCCTTCCACATGCCAAATACATCTATATATACAAAATGATACTCTCCATCCCTCATTAATTTAATTTGTTCAGTTAGTTTTTCAATATCTAATTAGGACCAAAAACATGCTACACATATTTATTTTTTTATATCAAAATTGAATTTGTAATTTCAAAACTAAATAATGCTAATATATACTGCATACTACAAAAAATATAGTGAAATGCCGACATATAATATATACATACTATGAAATACCAACATATTTATATAAATATTTAAATTTGGAAAATAAAAAATGGCAATTATTTGTTTTATTAATTTTATAATAAAACATTGATCGAGCTGAATGAATCCGTGGGAACTATTGGGATGAAGACCGGAGTCATGTCATGTTGAGTTTATGTACAGAGTTGACAAAGTTTGATAGAAATTAAATTGTCTGCTAATGTTGACAAAGTTTGATAGAAATTAAATTTTAATTTAATTTATTTGAATATTTTTTAGAAATTAAAAACTAACATTTTTATGTTAAAAAAGTACATTGAAAACTGTACAAAATAAAAGGTTACAAAGATTTATTGTTTTATCAAATGAATAGCAAAAATGAATAAAGAATGAGGTTAGAATTTGAACTTATGAATAATAAATATACAACTTAAATTAAGATGGAGAGAGTATTTGACTCCACATTTCTTAAAACGGTTCTTGTTTTGACTTTGGGGCAAAATAAAGAAAGTGTAATTTTAGTTGATTTTCTAATTTTGCCCCTGATGTGATGGGTAAAAGTTAGATGTGATAGTTTAGTTATTAGTAAAAAAGTATGATGTGATAGGTAGTGTATGAAAAAATAGGGGTAAAAGTGGTTTTTTAATAGAAAAAGAAAGTGTTTTAAGGAAAACAAAAAAATGAAAGAAGAAGGATTCTAAGAAACACAGGGAATATATTTTATCAAACTATTATATTTTATATTTTGAAAAATGATAATGTTCTTTTGACTTTAAAAAATGACCTAAGAATAACTAGACATTTTGGGGCTATATGCATGAGAGAGGGGGGCCCAGGTGACGGGTTTAATATTGAATCATTTTTATCCAAGATCAAAAAATATCATGATGTTTGAAATATATTGGATCATTTGAGCAATTTCGTCAGGCACAATGACTTTGTCTGGGTTGCAACTAATAGCTAGACCTGGCAAAACTGACTCGGATCCGATAATTCGAACCGAATAACCCGAAACCAAACTTGATTTGACACGAAAACTGAAGAACCGAAATAGACCCGAACACCCGAAATGATCTGAATCGAATCGAACCCAAACCGAATGTATTCAGACCTGATTCAGATCCGAATCCGATTAAACCTGAATCGATAAAACCCGAACCCCGTTAAACCCGGAATCGATTAGACCCGAAATTGATTAAATTTTATGTACGTCCGTGTTAAATAATAAAATAACTACAGAGTATATCATAAATTGATTAAATTTATCATGTGATATAATTGATTTATTAGTAAATATTTAAAATATATCTGAACTAATATAAACTTAAATCGATACAAACTCGAATTAATATAAACTCGAACCGATACAAAACCAAACCGATATAAACCCGATCCGATACAAACCCGAACCGAAAACCAGTCACCCGAAATAAACCCAAAACTGAACTGATCCAACCTGAACCGACCCAAACCGATTATAACATATATCCGAATGAGACCCGAACCGAAAAGACCTAAACCGGAACCGAATCGATTGACCCGATTGCCAGGTCTACTAATAGCTTAGATTGTTAAAGCGTTTTGGAATGTCACCTAGAGAAGATTTAGGGATTTGAAAAAAAAAGCAACGAGGATATTGCATTTTTAAGTTAAGATGAAAATGAAAAGTGTGATTGACTCTGCTACGATGTTCTTACCAGATCTTTTTTTTCAAGAACTCATTAGTTAAAACTCTAAAGTTAGACTTCGAGAAGGCAATCCTTGAGAAGGTTTCTTGGCACAAACAATTGAGAACAAAGTGTATGTGAGAAAGACTTGGGACTTATGAAGTCTACTACAATCATATATACGACGGACACTTGGGGTCAAAGTGGGATCAAAGTGTCACCCTCTCTAACCAAGCTGCTTTAATTTGCCACATAAGTCATTCATCTCCCTGTTTTCCTCAATTAGTGATGCTCTATTACATTAACGTACAGTACAGTTAGTCTGTCACATTATCTCCTCCTCTTCAAATTAATTTATACTTTTATCTATTTAGACATTTTTTCATAAAGTAATTCTTATTTCGTTTTTTTCCAATTGTTAAAAAATTAATTTTACCCTCACGTTTTCATACCCTATCTATCACATCATACTTTTTCACTAATAACCAAACTATCACATCTTATTTTTTACCTATCACATCATGGTTAAAATTGGAAGTCAACCAAAATTGCACTTTTCTTATTTTGGTCCAAAGTCAAAATATGAATGGTTTTAAAGAACAGAGGAAATAGATCTTTTCATCCTTAGGTAAGTTTTTAATGCATAATTTCATTTTTTATTTATATATCAATTTAGAAATATAATCATTTTACAAATTACCGAAGAATATAACTTAGTTATGAACGGAGGGAGTATTATTTTTTTGTAATTGAAATTAAAAACTCCGTAGGTATTATTACAAATGACTAATTAATTACAGCATAAATATATACGTGGAAACTCCGTTAACCAGACTTCAGATCTGAAAAGCCACCGGAGTACAAAAAACATTTCATGAGACGGTAGAAAAGAGGGGGAGAGATTGACGGTACTCCGTTAAAAGCAGTTCGTTTGTAACGCCGTTTGTTTGGGGTGTTTGTAATCCAGCCCTAATGTTAGAGCCACCTCCGTATCTAACCGCCATGCAAACCCCCCGCCGTCCATTCTCCACACATCGCACCACAGAACCCTACACTTGCCGCCGCACGTGACCACCCTCACCCTGCACGTGAACTCCGCCGCCGTGATCGGCGGCACCTCCACGCCCTCCCCCATCACCACCGCCGCCCCGCCGCTGTGCCCCACCATCTCCCGGTAAGCCGCGTTCGCCCACGTCACTCTGTTGAGACCGTCCGATAAGAACCCCGGACACGTGTCGCGCGCCAGATTCATCACCCGCTCCTTGTCCGTACGCCCCGAATCCCAACCGTCTGGTCCCCACACGCCGTCCCTCACGTCTTCCACCACCACCCACGTCCCAACCGCCCCAGACGCCGGCACGCGACCGGTCACGTGACCCCCTCCCCCCTCCCCGATCATCACCCCGCTCGCCGGAGACCCCCTCCGCTCCGGTTTCTCCGGCAGAGTAACAGCCCTCGGCGCGTCCCTCTCGATGCAAGACACCGACGAGCAGCACGAGTCCGCCTCCGGCGCCGACTTCGTCTTCTTACCGCACTTTCCGGATCCGTTCGAGCGGCTCTTCCTCCGGGCACCTCTCCGAGTCTCCGGAACCGAAGGCTCGGGGAAGACGGATGGAGGCGCGGCCGGTTTAGGGGCGATGGGGCGGTACCTCAGCATAATGTACTCCACCTTGGACATGTCGTAAACAGACGCCGCCGGCGCAATACAACACCCTCCACTCCGATCCATGACGGCGGAGAAATGTGAATAATGGGAAGAGAGGTGGGGATTTATTAAAAGATGTGACTGGGGGGGAGGTGGGGCCCGGGGTGAGGGAATGGGTTCGGGAGCGGGCCAATGAGGAGGCGGGGAGTGGAAGGGGTGGGAATAAGAGGGGGGGACACGTGGGGGGAGGAGAGGGCGGTGACTGGAAGGGTCGAGAGAAAGGTGGGGAGCGCACGTGGTCCAATCTGGTGAGGAGAGGTTTTCGCTGCGGGAAAGAAATGGTTGGACGCTGCCGTGCCACCACGTTGACGGCGGATGGGGACGCCATATCTTTGCTTAGATTCTCACTTTCAAGTGTTTGAAGTATAGAAATTATTATAAATATGACTAAAATGTAGAGAAAAGTAATAAAATAGGACTTTCATAATTTTTTTCCTGAAATATGAGTTTGCATTGTGGTAATGTGGCAGTGTACATATGCAAATTACTATACTTTCTTGGTAATGTATATGACCATGTTTGATAATTTAAGTCTTATTTCGGGAATAAAAGCATGAAAATCCTATTTTGGTATATCTTCAATGTTTTAGTCATACTTTGGTCTTTCTCCCTTTGAAGTACCACTCCGATTTGAGCAATGCTAGGGGTACACTCCAAATGTACACCACCCACTTTTCTACTACTCATTCTTATTTTATTTTTATTTGTTTATTTTTTTGACTTTCTTGCCTTTTTTTATGTGAATAAGGAGTGTGTGGGGGACAAATGGGGTACACTTTTGGATACACTAAAAGTGTACCCCTAGCATTTTTCCTCGGATTTTTCTTCCCTTATTTAATTAGCCTCCATCTGCCTCCCTTTATATTTCCGTTCCAGAAAAAAAGATTAAGTAGAATTAAAATATTAGAAATATATCAAAATAATAAATTTATACTTATTTATGAAATAAGAGTTAAAAAATATTTATAGTATTAATCATGATCATACTTACTCTATCCCAAAATATTTATCTACTTTTCACTTTTTCTAAATAAAATTAGTAAATTTTAACACTAAATTAAATTTAAAATAAATATTTTCAAAATATTATTTTATCTTATTAAATGGTTGACTGAAAAATAGTTTATTAGATTTGTCAAAAGATTAAAAATAATTGACTGAAAAAAGTCAGAATTGAACAAATATTCCAAAATGGAGGTAATATATACATTATACTCCGTAAAAAAGTATCGTGAAATATCCATACACAATGCCACACTACAAGAATACAAACTCCTGTTCTATGAATAAAAATATGAAACTCTTATTTTTGTACTTTCTCTATGTTTTACTCCTACTTAAAGTAAGTAATTTCTTTTTCCATTTCAACTAATACCTCCCTCCCTTTTGTCTAGTTTTGTATTTTTTAATCAATTATTTTTAGGAAGGACTCCCTAGATAAGAGTTAAAACTGTGAAAATATCAAAATAGAAAACATAAGTCTGATTTTTTGTGGCCAAAATAGAAATTCACACAGTCATTGTTACATTGTCACACTCATCACATTGTCATATTATAACTGTCACGTTATCACCGCAACACTGTCATCCATCGTCGTCGTAGATCACCGATGATTGACTTCTCACATTGATATATTATACTATCATCATTTTTTCACCTTATCACAGTGTCAACGCATACTCTTGTTGGAAAATTTTTGATAAATTGGACATTTTCGGACATAAATTCGGTAGGGTCCACAAAATTATTTTCGAAAATAATTATAGACATTTAATCTCGTAAGTAAGATAAATGTTTCGACATATTACACGCTAAAAATGGTGCTCGGGTGAATGAGAAATTAATTCACAAAGTCGAACACGTGAGAAGAGTAAAAGTCTTTGTCCTACGTCGGATCTTGAACCTTTCATATTCTCATATTTAAACTTAAGCACTTAATTAAGCTTATGAAAGGAACAAAAAAGGACTCCTCACGCGCCGGGGCAAGGCTAAATTTTTACGAGACCAAATTGAACACGCGTGGACATTTCGTGATTAACGAAGTGTCATCAAGGGAAATGCATGCATGCAGACCGAAGAGGCACTTGAGACTCTTCGGTATATCCGTCCGTTTGTCCATTAGCCAAACCTCCTCCAATTTAAGGAGAGGTTAGTCGAGAGAACAAATACATAGAAAAGGCTCTCTCTCTTTATACGTATAATCTTCCGACGATTCCCTGGTTTCCGGTTGTCTTCTCCGGCAGTAACGACTCGTCATTCTCGTTCGTCGGTGCACGGTTCTACCGCCCTAGGTCTTGCACGTAGCGATTTTATCATGGGAGGAGATTGTCCACGTTTGCCAGTGCGGGTGGCGGGCGATACTATCTTAAGGAAAGCTCCGGCGACTCTGCTTTCCTTACCTCTGTTCAAGAATCTTCTCCGGCGACACCCTACCACCCGACGTCTCTATCCGTTCGTGTTCTTCCCGCTGTCCGTTCCCGTTCGTGCTTCCCAAAGTTTCAATTTTCTTATTTTTATTTTAATTGTAAAATCCGAACGGTTTATAAGTTCGGATTATCGTCAATATATGATTATCATCATTTTATTTATCTACACTCGTTATTATACTTCTTCTCATTCATAAATGGAGTTGATGGAGGTATAAGGATGGTGGATATAACAACACTTATTGCTAGAATAGTATTTACTTGACCAATTTTTTTTTATAATGCTGCCTACTATTTCTAGTGTTAAAAAGTACACACATCAAACAAAGTGAGTAGAATATAATACTCTTTGGAAAAAGTGTTCCTCTTTTGAATTTGTATAAAAATAAGGAAGTATTAAATTGTAGTTGACTTCCAATTTTACCTTTAATGTGATATGTAAAAGTAAGATGTGATTGATAGATTATTAGAGATAAAGTATATGATGTGATATGTAGGGTATGAAAAGGTAAGGGTAAAAGTGGATTTTTAATAGAAAGTGGTAGTGTTTTGTTGCCAGTGAAAAAATGGGTTCCTTGAAAAAATGGAAAGGAGGGGGGAGTACGTAGTTTATCATGAAAAAGGAAGTATTTTTGAGAGAAAGTATTTTTGAGAGGAAGTATTTTTGAAAAAGGAGGAGGAGCTGACTATGTAGTTTGTCATGCCTATATGAAAGGATGGGTTCCTTGAAAAAATGGATGAGAACAAGTATTGTGTCAATGACTAGATCTTATCCAATTTTCGAGTTAAAGTTGTACTCACGCAGTTTTCTTATTTTTTTGGGTAACTCTCAACTTCTTCCGATTCTAGTTTCTTTTAATGATAATTTAAAAATGTATTTGTATATGATTAATCGTTATATAACCGGAAAAGTTCCGTTGACACTAGCACCGGAGGAGCTCGAAATAAAAAATTTATGGTTCTTACCCTTTGCTAAAGGCCTAAACCCCCAGCGCACCCCCACCCCAGCCTGACTCCTCGGCTCCAACCCTAAACCCCCTACCCTATTACGTACCCCTCCAAATGTGAGTTATTATGTAATGGGAGAAAGACTAAAGTAGGACTAAAAAATTAAACATATAACAAAATAGGACTTTCATGTTTTTATTCCCGAAATAGGACCTACATTATCAAACATGGTCATATACATTACCAAGAAAGTATAGTAATTTGCACATGTACACTGCCACATTACCACAATGCAAAGTCACATTACCACAGTGCAAAGTCTTATTCCAGGAAAAAAACATGAAAGTCCTATTTTGGTACTTTTCTCTATGTTTTAGTCCTATTTAGGATGATTTCTATTGGGCCGAGCTGTGATGGGTGGGTGGAGGTTTAGGAAGAAGGGTAGGAATCATCAATTTTGTGAACGGAGCACCAGAGAAGCTTTAAATGAGCGAGTGTCATCCGTTGACACTGAATACCAGTGTCAGCGGAACCTTACCGATGATAAATACAAAGTATAAAATAACATTATATATCCAAATTTATAACATATCACTTCAAACACGGGCAATGATAATTTTTTTAAATCTTAAATTAGTGTCTTTTCACATTTGTTTCGGTGATCACTTAATTGAGTGATTTTTTAATGTTTAAATTCTTCTAACATTTTTAAACTCCTTCCAATTTTTTTTAATTCCTTCCAACATCCAATTCTAAAATTCCAACACAAAAGAATAGAGGCTTAGTATATGTTTTTGATTTGGTACGATTTGATTTATCATTTTTGGGCAGTAGTGATATAATCCTAATGAATATTCTGAGTTTTCATTCTTTTCAAAGAATCAAATAGATGTTTATACTTTCCTAAAAAAATAGATGATCATATTTGATGGTGTAAATTACTTGACCGGTCAAACTATACTAGACCGGGTCTAGAATAGTTTGCTTGATTTGGCAAAGTAAGAAAGGTAAAAACACGCAGATTGACCGGTAGGACTTTAGGTGGAACACCTGTAGCCCACTTTATATTATAACGGAGAATGCACGGGTGCTTTTACAAGGGAGTTTAGAGAGAATGAATTCCGATCCCCTCATTCGAAGGTTACAAGAGGTATATATACTAGGCTGGGGAGCAGGACCACGTGCGCCCACGTGGGGGCATNAGTGACTGGCTCTGAGCTGCCTTGTCATCTTGCGCGGGGGGTGGCACCCTTGTCGCGTTCTGGTTTGGAAATATTCCCTCAGCATCCCTGCAATTCCAAACACTACAGTCCAAGTCCTTTTGGATTCCTCTTGCCGACACTTCCCCAATTCTCTAGGAACTACACCGGTTGATTTCTGAAGGTTTGGATCAATTGTCTTCGGAATTGGTTCCTGCTGATGGAGTAATCTGACCGGTATACTATCCGAAGTGTACCGGTCAACTCTTTGGTCAATCGGTGGTCCATTTGCCGACGATTCAGATCTCTCTTCAAAGTTTGACCTCTCTGACCGGTCAACTATCCGGTTCTGACCTTTGACCGGTCGTGGGTGAAATACACCCATCAATAAGCCCTCCACTTCTCGGTTATGCAATTTTGTCATAAGCGGGAAGTAAAAATCTGAAACAGGACTTTATATTTCGAATTTCAACTTTTCCCGCCCAGGGGTTTCAAAATTCAAATTTCAAAATTTGAACCCAGACACGTGTCGCGCCTCAACCACCCGTTCTGAATCGCTGTCAGCCCGCCCTTTCGTCTTCCCACGCGTCATCATTGCGCCGCCCGACGCGGCGCGTCCCTGAGTGGCCACGTCGCCCGTTCCCTTCCTTCCTCGCCTATATAAAGAGCTCCACCCCATTCATTTCTTCACTTCCTCTCGCGCGTCTCCTGAGTTTCACCGGTCAAGCCTCTCTCTCTAGCTTCCTAG